TCCTTCTGTCTACACAGGGCAGGACGTTGCATATTAATAATAATCGACTTCAAGATATCTAAATGCAGCCTCGTCTTAGCCCTACTTGTGACAGAAAAGAAATCGAGAGAATAATTCGTCCTGCAATCGATAGAATTGAAAAAGTGTTCACCAGTCGCTGACTCATGACTCTGCGTCTTAAATCCCCCCTTTTTTTAAACGAGATACTTTTGTATCTATTTTAACAATAAAATGGGAAATATGATCCTTATATTTAAATCATATATATATATATATATATATATATATATATAAAGAAATGTCTATGTTGGTTGATGTTAAATCCCGCACCTCGTCTACACAGTTTCGTTGTCGAGTCTTTTTGTAATCGTTCAGGAGGCATCAGCAATTTTCTGCCGATTTTCTCATTTGCGTTATTCCTATATTAAGTTATAAAAATAGTTTATGCACTTTTTATTGGTGTTAGATTGATTTCTTTTTTCGTCTGTGTGTACGTCCGTACGTGTCTCTATAAGCACATGTGTAGAATATCGTAATTATTTCTCTTTTTTCTTAATTTTATCGCCTCTTTATATACTCTCTCGCTATATTCTTTTTTTTTTTTTTTGCTTTGTTTTCTGTCTTTCGACTGAATGTCAAAGATAACATAGTAACGTTATTTTCTGTTATAGATCCATATATAGACAGGACTTGGGTACGTCGAGCTGGTGTAATGGTTAGCAAGCCTGTCTTGCTAGACTGAGTAGTGAGTTTGATCTTCACTGGGTGCCCCATACTTTCGGACTTGTGCCACATCTACGCTGCGCTTGCAAAATCACTATATCAGGGCACCTCGAGGTGGTTTAATGGTTTGCAAGCTTGTCTTGCTAGAACAATTACGACTGAGTAGTGAGTTCGATCCTCACTGGGTGCCCCATACTTTCGGCCTTGTGTCACATCTGCGCTACGCTTGGAAAATCACTATATACAAGACTTTAAAATAAACTAATTTTCTTGAATATTCTGGGGTTTTAAATTTGAAAAATATAATTCTGTTCCGTTTTATATTTCTTGATTTTAATAATTATTTTTTTCTGTATCTGTCTATATTTCTGAGATGAGGTATTATGTACACTATTTAAATTATTCGGACTATTGTCCTCATCTTTGTTGCCATATTTATCACAACTTTTCGGCCGTTGTACACCGCGACCTTCTTCAGGTGGTTGTAATGTCGAACTGAACCCATTATTTCGCTCGCTGGAGTAGACTGTTCTAATTCCACTTTCCATGTCTAATGGATGTCAGTTATCAGTTATCTCCTGTTAATTCCCCTCTCCAAGTTCTCCACTGCCTTAACCAGGTATTGAACTCAACAATTTACGTCCTGCCAACGCCTTTATCCTTAAGGACATCTGTGTATGAATTTCTGGGACTTATAAACTTCATGTCTTCAGCAACCATTTTTACCAGTACTCATATTGCAATTTTTGATGTTATCATTTTTATTTTTTTACCAGAGCTCATATGGCAATTTTCGTTGTTATTATTTTTTTCATTAATTCTTAAATGGCAAAGTAAATATTTATGTCTTTACTTACCCATTTAGATTTGTTTATTTAGAAGTTAATAGCTGTTTGTTTTTTTTTATTGTTTTTTATCTGCCTTGGTGGTATCTTAAGTATTATGATATTCATCATGCACAATTATAGTTGCAGTATTAACCACCTGTAGTTTATACTGCAACTATTTTGAATAAACACAAATGCGCCAGAGAAAGCGTCTGCAATAGGGACTGGTTAGCGGCCTTCCTCGAATATGAATGGCCAGCTAAGTGCTCGAACGAACTACATTCCTTGGTTCCGCCATGCCACTTACATTGTAGCAAACCACCCAAATTCATTTCATATTCCCTCGGTAAGAAGTTCTACTCGAACAGCTTCTTCCCACGGACCATTGTTCTGTGGAACAGACTCCCGAGAGGATATTTCCCCGACCACTACAATCTAACCTGTTTAAGTCTAGAGTTAAGTGTTATCTCTCCGCTGCTATTTGTATAAACTACCACTTAACGTAGCTCTATACCTCAGCCTTTGTACAGTGGTGAACTGTATTTATTTGCAGGACGTCATAGATAAATTAGAAAATAATCAGAAGGGGTAGATTTTGTCGCGTTAATCTCTGATGTGGGGTGGACCTGCCTCGAAAATCATAATTCAAAAATCCAAGTATTTGCCCGGCCTTATACGAGTAGAAAGTACACAATTATTTAACTCGCCAAAAAGGCAAATATTTTTCATATCTTTTTGATATTAACTAACTTACATTAGTCTGACTAAAGGATGCAAGTACAGGGGCGCTCAATGGGTCAAACTCACCACATCAACAGCTTGCAAGTCTGACATTTTTTTTTTTGACAAAATTGAGCTTACAAAATCAAATTTACAAACAGAAGACATGGTATAGGATCATTACGTTATGACAATCATCCTAATGGGAGGATCTGCTTACTTGGAAAATCAGCGTTCAAATTTCTGTCCTTTGTCTAATTACTGTCATTAACATGTTGATTGCCAGAAGTCAATTACGAAATCTGACATCAAATGCCAACTTAATAATAACCAGCTTGGGCAATAAGAAACTTTTATGAGTTGACTTATAGCTTCAACTGAAGTCTTAACATTGTTGTCACATTGCGAATAAACTCGTTATTGGTGCCCGGAGATGAAAATGTATCAGAAAATGCCAGGCACGAGATAACTCGTAGTCACTGTGTTAAGCTATGTTGTGATTGGCAGTCAATGTTTTAATGGGAAATTTGCATTTACCACAGTAATGTAACAGGTTATATATTTACAAAGATTAACTCGGGTTAGCATAAAGCCGAAATGTTGAAGCAGGTATCACCAGGTTAGAATCTGTTGTATCGTTAAAGAGGATACAAACAAAGGTGGTAATCGTGTGAAGGAACAGCAACACGCGCGTAGATGAAAGAAGAGGGGTTTATTGTAAAAGAGAATACACTACTGAAAGACAGGGAATCGGGTAGCAGGCTAGTAAGTCCAGAAGCAAGGTTCTTTATCTTACCTCCACGCGATGCAGGATGTGGCACAAGGACGTTTTTAATGCGGGGCAAAACAGTGCTCATAGGCTCAGGCAAAAATTCCCCGTAGACCCCGTATACACTGGGTCGGGTAGCTTTCTACCACCGCAGACGAGACTCTGCCCTTCGGCAGAGATTCGTCTAGGTTCCTCTCTGTCCTTCGGCAGAGAGTGGACCAGCACAGCTGGAGACGAATCTCCAACTAATTGCCAAAATAAACCCCCAGGTATATCATGTGCTCACTATATATAGCTACTGATATACTTCGTTCACATAGGCGAGAGAGATTTCGGGAGATTTCTATTACAACAGAATCGAACCCGGTCCATTAACAAATTGGCTTGACAGGCGAGTTTAACCGAGTCCAAGAAAAAAAACCGAAAGATCTAGTCTAGTGCTCCGGCTATATATCTCAAGATTCTCGACAAAATCCAAAATGTCTGTAATGTTATCGGCCCTGACCTGGCATCTCGACTTCAGTCATTTTCCCTCCGCCGTGACGTGGCCTCCCCTGGTCTTTTCGATAAATATTTTCATGGAAGTTGTTCTCACGATGTCTCCTCTTTGGTACTTCGGTCGCACGAATTTAAGCGTACTATTGGTTTGGCAACTAGGTTTCACCGTTTTGCTGTTGAAATAGCAAGACCTAACCGTCAGTTCTATTCTAATAGTTTCTTTTCTCGCATTTCTTACCTGTGGAACTCTCTCCCGGTTTCTCCCGACAATCTTCAAAAATGTAAATGTAACGTCAATCGCTATCTTCTGTTTTCCTGAAATCTGTTCTTTTATTTTTCCTTTCTCTTCAATAAAGTCTTCTCATTCTCTCCTATTCCCAATAAACACCCTTGCTTCTCAGTGGCGTCATCACCGTGCTTCGGGTAAATGATGAAATGATGAAAAAGAAAAAAAATATATCTTTAAATTTTCAGAACAAATGAAGCAAAGCACCAGAGATTTTTTATTCAAAAGATTAAATATAATAGATTTAAAAAAAAAAAAAAAAAAAAGGGGTGGTGCCAATGAGGGTGAAACGTGGATAAGTTCCACTGTTGTGATTCACTAATCAATTCTTGGAAGTTCTTTCAACCAAGAATTATAGATGTATGAATTTGATACAAAAAGTTTCTGCTCATGTAAATTCATAATATCATTTAGTAAGATATGTATTTCCCCTGGATTCTATGATATGAAGTCATCATTCAGCTAAAATGTCTATTCCATCATAAAGAATGATTTCAATATTTATTCAGTCGCTATTTAGAGGAATTTATTATTGCCTTGGTCATGATGATGCATGGAATAAAATAAATGATAGCCTGAAAGTGACATGTCTGGAGAATGTGCCTCATATTGAAAAACTTCCCTTGCCAGCTTCATAATCTTTTGCAATGTTGCATTTGCAACTAGAGCACAAGTCGCGTTATGTAGGAAAAGTCTTACTTATAAAAACAAATAGGCTATTCTTTTCCAATTCATTATTCAAACAAGCCAGTTGCTCATTGTCATGTTGCATTAACAGGCTGTGCAGTTTCACAGTAATTTATATTAAGGAATTCAAGACAGAAAAGTTTTCACTGATAGATTGCATTTATATTAAAGGTTTTTCTGGATTCATCCATCATTTTTGTCATTCAGGATTCTTTTAATAAATCCATTTTTCATCACGAGTGTCAGCCTTTTTAAACAAATATTTTTTGAAGATGGGAAAGATAAGTGTTTAAGCGCTGATTGATATCCTTGAATACTGTTCTTTTTATTATAATTTCTCCTCACTAAAGTCTTCTCTCTCTCTCTCTCTCTCTCTCTCTCTTGCGTCTTAGTAGTATTATCGCCTTGCTTGGAGTGAAATGATTAAAAAAAAAGGTATGTGTTGCGTAATAAAACAATCTACACGGATTGGTCAAAAAATAATGTTTAAGGCCACATCACGTTGGAACAGCGGTTCCCGTACAATCACCGATGTTAAGCAACGTCGAGCCTGGTCAGTACCTAGAATGGTGACAGCTTGGGAATAGTAGATGCTGTAAGCTTGTATGTACGATTGGTGTCATGGATAATAGCTCGGAATTGTTAATCGGAAAGCCAAGTTCCAATTCCAGTCGGGTTCTTTATATTCACTTACGTGCAAATACCTTTGGGAAAGGCATGAATCCACCACTCCCCGAACCCAGCTGTGCATTCATTCCTAGGACTTGTATAGCTAAAACCATTATTATCTAAAAAGAAAATACTCTTACAATCTAAAATATTTTCTGGTTTTAAATAATTCATATTTCTAAAATATTTCTAAGATATCTATTAATCTTCAGTCAGTTTGTGCCATGCGTGATACATGCTTAGGCGATCATCTATCTTTCGATACATGACTGACGAGGCAGATATTTTACCACAGTAGGTTGCTATTTCTTTCTGCGGTAGACCAGTTGCCATCCAAGGCTATAGAACTCGGTCTGTCCTGCTATTTACCCATAGCTGAATGGGGAAGAAATAGAGGATTCATACCTTTCCCAAAGGTATTAGCATGTAAATGAATGTAATGGATTACGACTGGAATTCGAACTCGGCTCTCCGATTCCTCAATTTGAGCCGCCATCCATTACTCCACCGTAAGTAGTACGATTCTAAATCTAGTTCTCCATTCTCCGCAGAAGCTTTTTCGCTGATTTCTTCGCTATACATGAGTTGCCTCTTTTACCTCATCATCCTTGGAGAACTGCTGCAAAGTGTCTGCATTAAACTGTGTATCTGAAGGATTTCACAAAGCTTTGAAATAGTGGTTGTTCCACTACTTGTAGTGATAGCATGTTTGGCTTTATCCGCTTTTACAGATGCAGCTGGCCTGCCAATACTGAGCCTGTCAATAAGGTTAGGTTCTCCTGTCTCCCTAATATTGACATTAAAGTACAGCCTTCCTATAATCATTTACTAACCTCATGTGAATGTCTCATAATTTTTACAAAACAGAAACTCTATGACTGCTTTTTTGCTTTTTATTTCTCCAGAGAGACCACCATTTCGAAAACATAACACAGATTATTACTGTATATTCTACAGAGCTGGAAAATGAACGAAGTCAATTAATTTGATATTATTACAAAAAAAAAACTACTTTTCCCATTACTTTAGTGAGGCGACTACACGCTGTACACGTGTCTTGAAAAATCTTTAGTAATTTATGTGTAACTATTATAAAATGGATTAAGTCCCACAATTATTTAATATATTTTTGTTTATACCTTATTTTAATAGATACAATTTAGTAAATGCTCTGTTTTGTTTTTTGTTTTTTTGTGGAGCGGTCTGTTTTTAAATAAACGGTATTAATTACATTTACAAACCTGAATGTTCGAAAATTTCGTAGAAAATGTGTTCTCCAACAGGAATCGAACCTGTGTCCTATACAGTACCGTCAATTGATCTGACGTGCTATACCACTCTTTTGAACTTTGCCAACCAGACTATTCTCTGTAGTTGAATGGTATAGGACGCCAGGTGAATTGAGCGTTGTATATAGGACACGGGTTAAATTCCTGTTGGAGAACGCATATTTTCTATGAATTTTTTTCGAAAATTCAGGCCGGTAAATGTAATTAACACTGTTTATTTTTAAGAAAAATAAAACAAAGGATTTACATAAATAAACTTACCTATTAAAATAATGTATAAACAAAAAATATATTAAATATGTGTAAGTATAAATACGCAAGAATTTAATAGTAATGTACACTTAAAATTACTCCCATAAAAAGCATATATGTACCGCGTATAAGGATGGTTAACAATATCATATTTGTTACTGTAGTGAGTTTAACTAGGCGTTCGAATTATGTGTTAAATCAGACTAAACATATAGTGTGTGTCTGTAAAAAAAAAATCGACACTGTCTTGTGAGAGTCAGTCCGAAGATCTTTAAAGAGAAGAATTCTTATGCGGGTTCCTAAATGATCTCGTTCAAAGATTTCGTAACCTCTTGAGTTTAGGTGCACCACATCTACTCTAGCCATAGCAACAGTGGTGTATTTTGGACAAGGCATCCTGACAAAGACCAATTACCTTCGGGCTGATTTGAATTCAGTTTTCCGTCTCCTAGGTTGGTTGCCAAGACCCAATCCATCCTACTATGCACCTATAACTTGGGGGGGGGAAATGATTCATACTTTTCCTAAGAGTATTAACACATAAGTAAATTTAGTGATCTCTAGTGGAATTTCATCTCTCCGATTCCTCAAGTCGAGCCGCTATCGATTACTTCACCCTATATATATATATATATATATATATATATATATAGGATGTCTCATTACTGGAAGTAGAAGAAAGGTTGTGGATCATATTAGGTCTTAAGTCATCGGGTGCATGTACAACACGTAGTGGTAATTTGTTTTCGTCTCTGTATTTCGCAATGAGCTCTCATCTTCTCTTTAGAAGTTTGTAGTTTTTTTGGTTGTGTTTTGGGGGTGGAGACGATATGATTATCACTATTTTCACTTTTAGATAACAGCTACTATGTTTTGAGCTAGTTTTTTTTTTTTCTATTTTTTCCATATTTTTTGTATTTTCGATTGTATTTTTGTATTTTCGAATGTATTTTTGAACATTCATATATGGTTGAGTGGTAAGTGCTACTTACAGATTTCTGTTAAATGATTTGTGTGAGTATTTTTTTTCCCAAAAACCTTTTGTTCTTTCTCTATATACTTTTTTTCTGGATTCCCTTTAAAACATAGAGTAAACTTATATATTACGTTACTTTGTAAGTAATTACTAACTAGTGGGTATTCGTATCTATAAACGCTCAATCTCTAATATTGAACACTCCTCTTCCATATACGTGCATACATAAACACAGAAACATGTATACATACATACACACATACATAGACATATGTGATGTGTGTTTGTGTGTGTCTGTGGTGCACCTACCGTGAAATATAACACTCTCGTCTGGTAGGCGAATTTTCTTGTGTCGACCAATGTAATGTATCCAGTGGATGCGTTAACCAAGGAACATTTTGTGATGTCTGACAGCCAGGAAACTTGTGTGACATGATTGAAGTGATATCACAGGATTTAAGAATGGTGGGTGTTGCGGTATCCTCCCTCTAAGAGTCTATGTTAGACTCTTCCGCCTACTATAAGTTTAGTAGGAGAGAAGGTTCGGGGAACAGTGAATAGATTCAAGATGTTGTGACCAAGTAAATGGTTAAGTAATAACAAAAACCAGGTTTGCAGGTATATCGTATATTAAACAGTAAGTACACCAGAAGAGTATTGCACAACTAATGATAGTGTATCGAATGAACTCGCCCTCAATCTATTCACAGTTCACTGTTCCCCGAACCTTCTCTCCTACTAAACTTATAGTAGGCGGAAGAGTCTAACATAGACGCTTAGAGGGAGGACACCACAACAGCTGTCGAGAAGAACTTTATCACAATCATATACTTCTCTAGAAAATAATTATTTAAAAAGTTTTGTTTAGTTTGAAAGAAATTTCACTAAAGAGGGAAACTGATCAATAAAACTGATGTACACCATAATGTAGTAAGCGCACTCATTTCAAAGTTCGAAACGGCAATAAGCTGTAAAACCTAAAATAATAGGTATAACAACTTCCATATTACGAAATCATTCTTATATTAAAACACTAGTCACTTCAAATACCTCAGTGTATCGATTAATTACAACCAATTTAGTATAAGATAATTTAGTTGTACTCTCCGGCCTTCTTTAGGTGATATTTATTGGAATTTCGAACCAAACTTTTTATTTAGTCCACGGGTAATAGGTTGTTCTAATTCCACCTGCCATGCCTCTGGATATCGCAGTTTTAGTTAATTCGGTTTGAAATTCCAACAAACATCACCTGAAGAAGGTCGGAGCTTGTAACAACCGAAACGTCATGAATGTGACAGTAAAGAGGAGGACAACAGTCCGAACAATGTAAATAGTGTAAACAGTTACAAGACATCATCTTAGATATATAGACAAATGTCGATAAGTTGAAATTAATGCATGCAAGATTTCACTGTACTAGCATCACTCCTTCATGGTTAGCCTATGAACTTTTTCAGCCCACCCTCGTATAGAAAGGTATTATATATTTCAATCGATAGTAACACTGGCTGCTTCCATTCAATGAACTCCGAATGTTTTCATATAAGGAAACGACTAATATTATTATTGTTTCTTGCCGATAAAACAATTGCCTAGCCGAAGTCTATTCCGGCAATTCCTGTCACGTAACTTGTCTGCCTTTTGTCTGGATAATAAATATAGAGAAGGCTCTAAGCCGTACGCTAAAACACGAGATCCGCGGTTGAAACAACGGAGAATAGTCCAAGCCGCGTTCAAATGCTATGCAATCATCTTGTCAGCGTCGGCAATGGAAATGCACATCATTGTAAAAAAGAAAAAAAGAGGTTTTCTTTGATATTCGACATCTAGTCTACATTGATATTTCCGAAGAGGCTGAAATCAGAGCAAGGTAATCTTGTTTATGGTTGCTATTTCTAGTATGGGGGGGGGAGAAAGAAAGAGAGTGAAAGAGAGAGAAAAAATGGGTTTTCTATAACCAAAGTTAAGCAATATTAAGCAAACCCGGCCCTACACTGAGAAACTTCTCGGGAAGCTGCAGGCGAAGTGTTTTATTGAGAATAAAAAGATTAAAAGAAAAAAGGAAAGACAAACGAATAATTAAAAACAAACAAAAAAACGCACTGATTGTATCTACTCACTTCGACATCTTTAGACTATTTCAAACACTTTTCTTTCACACGATGACGCAAACGCCTCTTTCGTTATATCTACTTATTTATTTGTTAAGCTTAGTTTAACACAGAATCGCTTTACTGCAGTACCAAGTGACCAGCGACCGTAATCAGTTGGCAGCTTAATTAAAACCTGTATTACTGATTGTGATACATACAATTTTCTTATTTCCCTTAGTTACTTACTTCTTTGGCAGCCGATCTGTGACGTCGTCCCCCGGTCGCAGCGCCGACTGTGACGTTCTATCCTGATCTACC